TGGGGGCATTGGTGATCCTCTGCCCATCTTGACTTCTGAGAGACACTGCCACTCTGAGAGGCTCTTTTTATACCCAATCATGTTGCCAATTGACCTAATAAGTTGCAAATTGGTCCTCCAGCTGTTCCTTATATGTACATTTAACTTTTCCGGCCTCTTATTGCTACCTGTCCCAACTTTTTTGGAATGTGTAGCTCTCATGAAATCCAAAATGAGCCATATTTGGCATGACATTTCAAAATGTCTCACTTTCAACATTTGATATGTTATCTATATTCGACTGTGAATAAAATATAAGTTTATGAGATTTGTAAATGATTCCATTCCTTTTTTACACACAATTTGTACAGTGTCCCAACTTTTTTGGAATTGGGTTTGTATGATTTTATATAATATATTTATAATATATAATATTTGCAGATTATTTTTCTATTACATTTGTTTGTGTAAGCATTTTTCACAATGCATATTGTTCCATATTGTGTAAAAAGAGTGCCTTATAAACACTGCAGTTACACAGCATTACATATATATTGGTTGCACACATACAGTGTTATTGCTAAACGTTTCAAGCTAAAAAAAAAAATGTGGAATATCATATATCAAGAATTTTTACTCTTACTGCTAAGTGTATCATCTTGAGAGGAAGCATCTGTAGCTGACAGCCGTCATTAGAGGCCTCACTATCAGATATTGTTCATTTCAGGGTGGATTGATTTCATTCAAGATGTTTCACTAAGTGCTTTGGCTTCCCTCTTGATAGATTACATGCACAAACCTCCTTCCCTCATTTGAAACCCAAGAGCTAGTCTGGTCATATTCTAGTGTCAAGCGCACTAGTTGTCTAAGCATCCTCTGTATGGGTCCTTAAAGGGATTATATGTAGCCAGGGATGAGACTCTTGATTAATAATTTATAATGGCCACTAGTGGCCGAAAACGAAACTGTATTTATTACAAGTCCACTAGATGGCACCTTTGATGTACAATTAACCCCAAAGCACAAAAATAAATCTAATTTTAATTAGCCTACTGCACACATAATTTAAGAAATAGACAACCTGTGCTCAATTTAAAAAAACTTGACTAATATGCATAAAATTTTATAATAATGAAAACGTATATTCCTAGTATATCCTCCTGAGAACCAGAAATAAAAAGCTTTGTGAATTTAGTATTTTTTCATGTCATTAAATTGTTTAGAGCATAAGAAAAAAATGGTAAAATAACATTTTTGAAAAATTATATTTTATTCCTAAGTTATGATATGTCCTCTGTAGAGGACACCAGGACTCAGTTTTTCTAAAAATAAAATGACAAGAGTAGACATGAAAAGGTAAAACCAATGGGAATTTCTTTTAAATCACCAATCAATTTTTAGGTTTCAGGATTTTTTTATACCTAACTTTGTTTAAGGATGGTTATCAACTATGTTATAAAATATATAACAAAATTATTTGATATACTATTTTGCTTTATGCAATATGTGTGTAAAAATTCCATAAACTGGTTTTCCCATTAAGCACAATGTTATCTATACACTGTATCTAATTTGCATATTAAAGTGCTGTTGGGACAGCATGTTGAAAAAAGAAGTGTAATAATGGGAGTAGTAATTGGCCAGATTTTCATAATAATATCTAATATTTCATAAGAATATTGATATATAATTTGTTTTCCTATTCAATTCTTTTGTCTCCCAAAATGTATAATAAACATGCTTTTAGTCCTGGTGTCCTCTACAGTGGACATGTATGAAATTATGTCCTGTTTCATAACAGGAAGTCATATTTTGATTTGAAACCCCGTAACATTTTCCTGAGATGTTGATTTATGACAAACAATTTGAAAATGAATCAGATTTAAATTATAATTACAAAATATTATCATATTTCCATAAGGATGT